CATGTTCACGTCAAAAATGCTGCAAAATTATTTAATCTTCACGGATCTGTATTTTATAATTATGGAAATATTACTGTCGCATCGAAAATTTTGTGCCAATATGTTTATCTTCAGGTTTATAGATTTTTAAGGTTGTTTTATTTTTGCCTATTTTGCGCAAAAAAAAAGAAAGAAGATAAATAACAAAAATTCAGGTTTTATATGTTTTAAGTGATTCACTGGGAAATTAATTTATTGTTAAATATATCAGCTTTATTAGAATGGTTTTGTGAGAAACAATTTCCGGGATATAGGAAGGAAACGGTATTTTACATATGTATCTCGTGATAATTGCTAATTGTGCTTTTAAAGATATATTTTTGTTATAGTAATTTTAAATCATGGTTTTCATATAATTTTATAAAAACGTAAAATAAAAGTAAATTACTCTTCCCAATTCAAAACTTAAAAACCAAATGTTTATGTGGCTACTGTTCAGTTACGAAAAAAAAGTTATCAGGCTAAACAAAATTAAAACCAATTCTAGCGAGTTCTTTTGTTCGTTTTTTTTTTCTTTGCCAGGTTACTAAGCAACAGCGGCTGCGAGTTCTTTTCTTCGTTTTTTTTTCTTTGCCAGGTTACTAAGCAACGGCGGCTGTAGTTCTTCATGTAGCCTAACATCTAGTCATTAATTTATTTATTTATTCTACATAACTCGTCATGAACTGGTGTAAAATTAACTAGCTAAAGGATACAAAGCCACACTTCTGCGATTCGGAAAGCTAATGTTGCAAAGCGCTTAATGACTGTAATATCATGATAACGTTAGGCCTAAAGAAAGTGATCCCACACAAAACACACATTATCATTATTTCAGACACTCTTCTAATAACGTGCAATCTTTTCCTTCTCGGAGGAATAAAAAAATCATCTAGCGATTACCTTGCAAAATCCTCCAAAAAGTCATTTATGAAGGTAAATGTAAAGTAATTCCTTCATTGGACTTTGTGGACTTTCATTGGACAAGCAAGACATGGTCTTAGTTCGCGTTGAATTAATGCGGAAAAGTTACTTTAATTCACCTGCAGGTAGCGCCTAGATTACTAATGTTTCCATATAGAAACTCTCACGAAGAAGTGAGCATGATTTTGTTTTTTGCATGTGTTTCAGCTCTACCAGCTTTTAGAATCATGCTTAAAGTATTTATTTAAAAATGGAACGAATTATTAGCATTGTATATCTGCACTATCATCCTTCCCTTCGTGTTACTTTAACTAACCATCTTATAGCTCCAGATTTATTGTATAATCTCAACACTTTGCTTATCAGGACGATAATCCAACTACGCTTACGTTAAATGATTCCTTTCACAGCTGTAATATATTAGCTGTTTCGAACACATTCGCAACTTGTATATACATCATTAGATTAAGATAATGGATATTACCATACAACTCGTTTCTAGATAGAGTTGCACTGTTTGTGGAGTCGACCTCTTTCAGTTTGTTAATTGGCACAACTGTGTAGGTGTAATGCGATTTTTTTTTACTTTGGTGCTTGTTTTCCAGAGTGTCCATTTGGTAGTGAAACCAAACTGCTCATGAACTGTACAAAATATCAACATTTTATGGTCAATAAAAAATGTGAACATCAAACTGTGTAAAAACTGTATTTTTTTATTTTGTGTCATTACTTTAGTATAGCTTTAAATATACAAGCCAATAGATTAAACGAAGAAAAATTAGTTAATTACTAGTAAAAATTAATAATCACAAATTTTCATGAAACACTCATGTCCCTACTTTGACCTTGACCTTTGGAACTTAATATGAACTTTATGTGTAACAACTATTGCATAAGTCTGGTCAAAATCCATCCATTCAATTTTGAGACACTTTGTCCACAAGATCCGGAAGGACAAACAGACATGGACAAACCAACTGGTTCCTTCTAAACATTCTACAAAAGATCTTGAGCAGTATAGGCCACACTTGGAAGCCGGAAGTAAACAAACATGACCTTCACTCAATTAACTAAAGTATGTATCAATTGACTTTAAATTATACATTTGTCTGGAGCCAGATGTAAACAAACATGACCTTTGATACGTGCAGAAGGCATTGACCTAATATGTACGTCAATTATATGTTAACAACTCCAGGAGCATGTTATTATGCAATATAATAGGATTAACGTCATCTGCTCCAGAGGCCTGAAAATGTATAAGACAAGTAACCATACTTTATTTCATTATGATAAATAAAATATTTTCGTGACTTTTTTTTTGTTTCATCTACAAACAAGATTATGATACAAAAATTGCTGGAGTTGCCAAATCGATGATTCCTCTCAAACTAATCACACATGTGTGACATTAGATAATGATGAAGGTATTTTGATATACCTGTGGTCTGCTCTAACTCAAGTAGATAAAAATAATATATTAGATGTTTTTGAAGTTAGAGCTGGTAACCTGAACATACATAATTTTAAGAACTTAAATCCCATTGAGTTTGTTGAGAGTGGTGAGTTTATTCAAGAGTTATCCTACTACATCTTAAAAATGGCTAAGTGTAACTATTATGATTACTACAATTGTAGACATGTTTCCATACACAAAAATATTGTCCAACTTTACATGTAATAAATATATTAATGATATACTTTATTACAGGACAATTGAATGTATAAATGGTTTTACTAGATCTAATAAAAACAATAATTATATATTTGTTACAGGGGGACGATTTAGTATTAGATATATCTCTTTATGTAGGCCTCTAATGAGATATTACTGGTATATAAATTGTATACAATTACAAAGCTTCTTATTGTACTATGATTAATAAAGGTTGTTTTTTTTTTAATTCTTCAGAGTGATATATATTAATCATTCCATGTCATAACAACATGGTTTGTAGATTAAACATGACAAATCTCATGGTACAAATTCTAATGGTACAAGGAAGAATAAATGGTTTTAAATTGAAGGTATTGTAAGAATGATTTACGTTACGTAGAAGATGGTAATCTTCTTGTATCATAATAATCTTGTTTGTAGGTGAAAAAAAAAAGTCACGAAAATATTTTATTTATCATAATGAAATAAAGTATGGTTACTTGTCTTATACATTTTCAGGCCTCTGGAGCGGATGACATTAATCCTATTATATTGCATAATAACATGCTCCTGGAGTTGTTGACATATAATTGACGTACATATTAGGTCAATGCCTTCTGCACGTATCAAAGGTCATGTTTGTTTACATCTGGCTCCAGACAAACTTATAATTTAAAGTCAATTGATACATACTATAGGTAATTGAGTGAAGGTCGTGTTTGTTTACTTTTGGTGTTGTTGACTGGTCAATGCCCTTGTATCAAAATTGGATCAAGGTCACATTTGTTTACTTCCGGCTCCCAAGTGTGGCCTATACTACTATCGTGTTTTATAAAATTCCTTCAGTTCTTTTGTAAAATGATAATGTTTTTCGTGTAGTTGATCAAAACATTAGTTCTCAGGTATAAGGTTTGTAACCTAGCACGAGTTTGCATTTTTAACTTTTACAATGAGTCAGCGCCCCCTGATG